CAGCGGCACATTGTCGTTGTCCTTCTTCTTGAACATACGCACCACACGCCCGTGGTCGATGCGCTTGGCCAGCACCGTAAGCAGATCGTTCAGCAGCAGCGGATGCTGCTCCAGGTAGAACGTCAGCGCACGGTAGTAGATCTCGACATTGGCCACCTTGGGCAGCACCGCCTTGAACTGGTCGTGGTCCCACGCATCCGCCGCATGCTCCATGGTGGCGAGCGCCGCATTGTCCATCTCGTCGTACTTGGTGTACAGGTACACCAGCTCCGACCACAGGTGGCACTGCTCGGCCACCTTGATGAGCTGCGGCAGGTTCGAGCGCGACCAGTACAGCTTGAGGTGCTCCATGAGACGCTCGGGGCGGTACTTGGCGAGCGCCACGCCCGTCTGGGTGAAGACGCCCATGTGGGCGCGCTCGAGGCCGAGCGCCTGCTCGAGCAGGTTGAGCAGCTCGTCAAAGAAGCCCTCGTTCTCGTACGCCCGGATGAGGCCCGGCAGCTCCTCGGCGTGCGGGATGATGGCCAGACCGGCGATCTGCGACAGCTTGAACTCGCGCTTGCTCAGGCACGCCGCGTGCACCTGCTTCCACACGCTCGTGTTGCCCGCCTTGCGCGCGGCGTCGACGGAGCCCTGGTAGTCGCCCAGGTAGACGAGCGTCGTGGCGAGGCGCGCGTAGTTGGAGACGCTCGTAAAGAGCAGCTTGGCGGCCTCGTACAGCTCGTCGTTGAAGCACTTTTCGCCCACGCTCAGGATGTCGGCGACGTTGGTCATGGCGAGGAACTCCTCCATGTCGCCCAGACGGTTGGCCTTGGCGAGGCAGTAGGCGTACTCGGTGTCGATCTTGGGCTCGCGCGCCTTCTTGCGCGCCATCTGGAGGAAGCGGATGAGCTCCTCCTCGCGACCGGCGTGCTCGGCGATCTCGATGACCTCGTCGTAGTTGGACGGGTCTTCAGCCTTGACGTATGAGTCGATGGCGTCCTTGACGCGCAGGCCGTCGAGCTGCGCCTTGCCGAGGCGCGACCAGATGGCGGGCTGGTTGAGCTTGTTGGCGTACTGCTGGCCGCGGTCGATGGAGACAATGTGCTCGACGAGCACGTTCATGGCGTCCTCGTGCTGCTCGGCCTTGGAGAAGATGCGGAAGGCCTCCTCGTAGAGGCCGTGGTCGATGGCGATCTTGGCGATCTCCTCGACGTCGTAGCCGTCGAGGCGGTCGATGTAGTTCATCACCTTGCCCTTGTCGGTGCGGACGGCGGTGAGCAGCAGCAGGTTCTGGAGGCTGCGGTTGTCGCTGAACGCCGACGGCTCGAGGATGATCTTTTCGAGCAGCTCGATGAGCTCGTGCGGCAGGTCGGCGGCCATGAAGGCCTTGACGGTGGCCGAGACATCGTCCGGGTTGGTGGACTCGGGGACGGCGGTGGAGGCGACCTGCTCGACGAGCTGGCGGCGATGGACGTTGTCCGAGGTGAGCACCTGCGCCCAGAGGTCGAGCTGACGACGCTTGACGAGGTAGCGCGCCTGGTGCTTGAACATGGAGTTGTCGTTGGTGATGGCGATCAGCTCGTCGTCGCAGAAGCCCTTGGCGTAGGCGATGTAGGCGAGGTAGGGGTCGCGCTTCTCGCAGTACTTGCCGACGACGCGCGGGTCGTAGAGGTTGTTGTCTTTGAGGAAGGCCTCGGGGTTGTTGTTGCTGTCGATGGCGATCTTGGCGAGTGCGTTGTAGAGCGGCTGGTCCTGGGAGCCGGCCTCGACCTTGGACTGGAGGAAGGGGAGGATGAGCTTGAGGCGGTTGCGCTTCTCGACCTCGTCGACGAGCTCGTCGACGGGGATGGGGCCGGTGACGGACTGGAGGAGGTTCTTGATGACGCCCTCGTCGCAGTCGACGTCGAGCAGGCCGCCGATGACCTGCGGGGTGCGCGACGAGTTGACGCGCTGCACGTAGACCTCGATGAAGTTGATGAGCATGTTCTGGTAGAGGTAGAGCACGAGGTCGTGGACAAAGTCGAAGCGGTCGCAGACGATGATGAGCGGCAGCTGGTCCGAGAGTTTGGCCTCCTTGAGGAAGTTCTTGACCTTTTCGGGGTTGTAGTGGTTGGACTCGCGGCAGATGCGCTCGACCTCGCGGATCTGACCGGTGCGAGTGGCGGCCTGGATGTACTTGAAGTGCACCTCGGGGTCGGTGGAGAGGTTGACGACGGAGCCGAGGTAGTAGTAGAGGCCCTCGAAGGACTTGAAGGACTCGAACATCTCGATGAGCTTGACGGGGCCGAGGAGGTCCGAGTACTTTGTGGCGATCTGGACGACCACCTGGAGGTTCTGGCGGATGTTGACCTTGAGCATCTCGCGCAGGCACTCGAGCGACTGTTCCACGGTGAGCTTGCCAAAGTAGGAGACGAGCCAGTCGGGCTGGAGGAGGTTGGTGTGTACGACGACGCGCTTGATGTCTGCGTTGTCCTCGTAGTGCTCGAGCGCGCGCTGGAGGAGGCCGGCCTTCTCGCAGAGGTTGGCGATGCGCGGACGGTCGTAGTGGGTGAACATGTCGTTGCCGAGGATGGCGTCTGCGACCTGGGGAGCGTTGACGAGGTTCATCTCGAGCAGGCGCGTCTGGAGGTGGGCCTGTTCGGGCTTGTTGTCCTTGAGCGCGTCGAGGAGGAAGCTGGTGGCCTGCTGGATCATGTTCTGGCTCATAAAGATGTCGGTGACGCGCTCGATGTCGACGAGCGGGCCGGCGTCGTCGGCGACGAGGCTGGTGGCGAACTCGGCGCCCTTCTCGGGGTTGGTGCGTACGATGTGCTGGAGTAGGGCGGCGTAGTCGGGGGTGTAGCCGACCTTCTTGGCGTAGAGGACGATCTTGTCAAACTGGCCGGTCTCGGCAAAGCAGGCGACGACCTTGTTGGGGACGTTGGCGCGGAGGTAGACGCTGAGGGCGAGGTTCATGTCGTGCTGGCGGACAATGTCGCCGAGCTCCTCGCTGCACTCGATCTTGGACTCCTTGAGCCACTTTTCGAGGAGGTGCTTCCTGCCCTGGTTGAGGACGGGGCGGGCGAGCTCGAGGGACTCGAACTTGTTGAGCGAGCCCTTTTCGAGGAGGATGCCAAAGTACTGGAGGATGGGGGAGAGGGTGCCTGGCTGGTTGGGGACCTGCTTGAACTGCTCGATGGTCTGCGAAGTGCGGAGGATGCCGCGGGGCGAGTTGGCGGCGATCTTTGCGGCTTCGCCGTACTGGCCGGTGGAGAAGAGCGAGTGGAACTGCTGGAGGTAGAGGTCGTCTGCGCCGGGGAGGTCGCCGCGGGAGGCGAGCTTGAAGGCGAGGTCGGAGTTGTTGAGGGTGCTGAGGATGTAGGGGATGACGGTGTTTTCGTCTACCGAGACGGAGAGGACCTGACCCTTGCGGTTGATGCCGATGATGCCGCTGGTGGATTCGTGCTCTGCGGTGACAAAGATGGTGTCGCCGGAGATGCGGTTCATGTAGATGCATGCGCCGGACTCGAGGTCGTAGAGGTGGATGAAGCCGTACTTTGTGACGAGGTAGACGATGCCGTATCGCTTGGAGACCTGCATTGCGACCGGGAAGTCGTTGGTCGCTTCTGGCGGGAAGAAGACGTCGACGGCCTTCTTTGTGAAGGCGGGCTGACCGTTCTGGTGGTCGATCTCGACGACGTGGAGCTTTGCGCCGGTGGCGGTGCGGTTGGCAAAGGTGAAGAGCTTGAAGGGGTTGGGAGCGGCGTCGGACTTGAGTTCGGCGAAAGCGGCGGCGTGGCCCTCGATGGGTTGGGAGACGCCGCGTTCGCGCGAGTAGAGCTGCATGGATCCCTTTACGCGGAAGGCGTTGGGAGCGCCCGAGGTGTTGCCCGAGATGCCGACGAGGACGAGCCACTTTTCGTCTGCACTTGCGCGGTAGTTGATGATCTGGGTGCCTTGCAAGCTGACGTGGCGGTCGAAGACCTTGGTGGGAGCGGAGTCGCCCTCCATGGACCAGTGGAATACGGCGGATTCGGTGACGAGGCCGAGGGTGGTGTTGTTGATCCACTTCCAGAAGGAGACGTCGTCGTTCATGAGATGCGACTTGACCTTTGCCTTTGCCTCGATGTTGAAGATCTGGAGCTGCCGCGCGGACTTGAGCGCGATGATCTTTTGTACGGGGTTCATGATGGCCGAGTCGGCGGTGATGGGTCTTCGCATGACATCGCTGACGTCGTTGAGGTTGACGATGACGACCGAGTTGGTGCCGTTGATGCTCTCGCGGACGCAGACGAAGTTTTCGGATTCGAGGGTCACGTTTGCGAACGAGATGCTGTCGGCAGCGATGCCGACGTTTGTGAGCTGCACATGCTCGGAGAAGTTGATTGGCTTGTCGGCCATGGTGACCGGGGGGCGGTGATGCGCGCAGGTGATGCTGCTAGGTATCGAGGAGAGCTGAACTTGGTAAACGAGGGCGAGAAATATACACAACGAGATGGAAGGAAAGAAAAAGAGGGCCAAGCTGTTGTTGGGATGGCTGGATGATGAGGATGATGAGATGGTGGTTGCGCTGGTCGGTGCTCGGCGCTCGACGAAGATCCACTTCGGTCTCGCTTTTGCTGTGCTTTGCTGTGCTGTGCTGTTGGGTCGGTTGAGTCGGTTGGGCCAAAGCGGTGCGGTGCGGTGCGGTGCAGCCCGACGCTGACTGGGGTGCAGTGCCGTTCCGTCTGCGCACAGAGCACCTCTTCTCGACCGACGTGGCGGCTTCCAAAAGCTCGCTGGCCAGCTGCCTGGAAATTCAATCATTCGAATTTCGACGCGTTGTGTGCGAGAAGAGAGAGTGCGATCGAAGTGTTGCTTTTGATCGAAGCTCTCCGTCTTCCGGCCGTCTTCTCTCGGCCTAGTCAAGCCCGAATCAACGACGCGCGTCACCCGCTGCTCCACTTCCGATTCTCTAGCAGCAGCTGGCCCCCTCTATCCTCGCTCCTCCACCACCGCATACCACCGATCCACACACACACACAGCCATACACACCGCCATGGCCGATCCAACACCATCCACATCGACGCAGCCGCCTGCCGAGTCCGTGCTCTCCACGGATCCGGCCAAGGACAAGGCGCTCAAGGCGTACAAGAAGGCGCTCAAGCAGCACGAGGAGCTCTCCGAGGGGCTCAAGAAGCTGCGCTTCGGACTCAAGGACCTCGACAAGGCGTACGACAAGACCGAGGACGACATCAAGGCGCTGCAGTCGGTGGGGCAGATCATCGGCGAGGTGCTCAAGCAGCTCGATGAGGAGCGCTACATTGTGAAAGCCTCGTCCGGTCCGCGCTACGTGGTGGGCATCCGTGCGAGCGTGCCCAAGCACAAGCTCAAGCAAGGAGTGCGTGTGTCGCTCGACATGACCACACTCACCATCATGCGCATCCTGCCGCGCGAGGTGGATCCGCTCGTGTACAACATGAGCATGGAGGATCCGGGCGCCGCGAGCTTTGCGGGCATCGGTGGACTGTCGGACCAGATCCGCGAGCTGCGCGAGGTGATCGAACTGCCACTGCTCAATCCGGAGCTGTTTATGCGCGTGGGGATCAAGCCTCCCAAGGGTGTGTTGCTCTACGGACCGCCGGGCACGGGCAAGACGCTGCTGGCGCGTGCGGTGGCGAGCACGCTCGAGACCAACTTCCTCAAGGTGGTCTCGAGCGCGATTGTGGACAAGTACATCGGCGAGAGCGCGCGTCTGATCCGCGAGATGTTTGGGTACGCCAAGGAGCACGAGCCGTGCATCATCTTTATGGACGAGATTGATGCGATTGGCGGACGACGATTCAGCGAAGGCACGTCGGCGGATCGCGAGATCCAGCGCACGCTCATGGAGCTGCTCAACCAGATGGACGGATTCGACTACCTCGGCAAGACCAAGGTGATCATGGCCACCAACAGGCCCGACACGCTCGACCCTGCGCTCATGCGACCGGGACGTATCGACCGCAAGATCGAGATCCCGCTGCCCAACGAGCAGTCGCGTCTGGAGATTCTCAAGATCCACACCAAGCCGGTGGCCAAGAAGGAGGAGCTCGACTACGAGGCCATCGTCAAGCTCAGCGACGGATTCAACGGCGCCGATCTGCGCAACGTCGCCACCGAGGCCGGCATGTTTGCCATCCGCGACGACCGCGACTACTGCGTCCAGGAGGACTTTATGAAGGCGGTGCGCAAGCTTCAGGAAGCCAAGCGCCACGAGTCCAAGATCGACTACAGCGCAGTGTAGAACGTCTCTCTTTCCAGTGGCAATCGTATTCGAATATTCACGCTATCGTTTCAATGGGGCAAATGCTGATGGATTAGGAGCATGCTAAAGCGTGGCCCGCCAACTACGAATGGGGGGCCTGAGACGCTATTCAAAGAGAGAGAGGGATGTGAGGGGGGAAATTTATTGCATGCCGGCCTTTTCGAAAGCGGCCTCGATCTTTGCATCAATGATGTCCTTGAGCGATTCCTGACCTTTAGCCTTGATGGTGAACTTTTGCGACTTGTTGCCCGAGTCGCCCATGACCACCACAATATAATCGTTCCTCGACTTGAGATCAGCAGGCAGGGTGATGGTGGCCTCTTCATCACGAATAAGGAATCCCTCTGCGAGTTGCCACTTGAGGTTGTAACCGCCCTCGCCGTTGGCGGGGAGGAAGCCGAGCTTGATGTGTCCGGTGTAGTTCTCAGCTTCCTGGGGGAGATCCGAAGCGTCCCATGTGACGGTGACCGTCTCGCCTGCAGTCCAGACGGTGTTGGAGGTGGGAGAGGTGATGTGAGGGTTGTAGACGATGCGCTTTTCGAGCTCGACCATGGTGTCGCGACCCAGCATGATGTTGTCCCACTGCGTGGCTTCGTACTGACGCTTGAGCATCGTCTCGGCCTCGGAAGCGCCGCCAAAGCTCGCCATGGGTGCACCCACCACCGACGAAATCAGCAGCGACGCCGAGAGTAGAATCGTAGAAAAGTGCATGTCTGTGTTTTGGTGTGGGAGAGAGTGAGAGGTTGGATCACGAATAGAAGAGAGGAAAGGAAAGAAGGGATCCGTTGAGATGAGCGAGAGAGAGAGGGGACGGGAAGCTACGAGGGACCTCTCCTTTAAGGCATGCGACTACAGTAAGGAAGGGGGGAGGCGCTTGAGCAAGGGGGTCCCTTAGCTGTCAAACAGAGACAGGTCGCGTTCTGCGACGGGCGGGGCGGTGCGGTGCGGTGCAGAATGCATGCGCACCTGCCTGTTTCGCCTTGCTTTGACCCTGCCTATCGCTACGGCCAGTGCACTCATCACCAACACGGAACCCCCTTCCCGAAGTGGACTTGGAAGCTCTAGCTCCATTTGGACGCGCATGGTGGGGGCGCGGCTTTCCGACGCAGACTCTCTGGTTGCCACGACCTCGAGGCTCTCTCTCTCTCTCTCT